ATGTAATCATTAAAAATACCAATTATAAAATATGTGCTCCAATGCTAACCAGAAAGAAAGCAACACTCAGGGCTGGCCAGTAGCGGCCCTACACGATGGAGGACTAAGGGGCTGGAATAGAGCACTCACTACGCTCCGTGCCACACATTCATACACACACCAAATCAAGAAAAGAGGCAAACTGAAAATGTACAAGTGGTGAAGGGAGGTGCAAAATACCACGGCATTCAAAAGGAGTGATGGTGCAGCAGTGGGTAACTCTATCACCAAATCCCCCACCATGAGAAGCCACGCCCGGACCAGACCCTGAGCAGAAAAAGACACAATGAGCACAAGTACCCAATCACAGGGTTCAATATATTAAAATGAACTAAGCACCAAACAAACACAGTAAATAAGTAAATTAAATAAAGAAACAACAAAAACAAAATTAAATGCCAATTAGACCCAAATAAAAACTGCAAGGCACTCAGCGCCTATAAGAACAAAAAAGAGTTAACACATGTAATAAATATTCCTCCTCTACTTGTAAACTGGCATTACCTAGTATGACTACAAGAGAGCGGCTACGTCATAGCAGGCCGCCTCCTTTACACACGCAGCAGTCTGAGCCAGCGTCTAAAACACAAAAAGGAGAACTGAGAATTCACTAAAAAAATGAGGAGCACAAACACACCTACCAGGCCTTCAGCAGTGAGAGGAATACCCGCCCCAGGGACCACGATTGGCGCAGGTGGCACAGGGATGTAGCGTCAGTACGGGTGTCTGCTGTGTGTTTATATATGAGTGCTAATGTAATGGAATGCGGAAGTCTACGTACCGGCTTGGGGGGGGAATTCCCTCTACGGCGGCTCATTAGGGACAAACAACCCACCGGTTACATTCACCCCGGGGCTCTTGAATTGGCGGCCCGACAATACCACAATCTTATCGGTAATGTGTGAAGGTGGTTGGACAGCACTGTATCTAGGAGGTTATAGCCCTTGCCCTGCCTCTGCCCCTACATCTAGCTGGCAGATTATATGGATTTGAATGCAGGCCAGCGGTCCTTCGACTGGACCTCCTAAGTGACGGGGGGTCAGAGTTCACTGGGCAACTCTGGTTCTCTTGAACTGGTGGATCCACCTCTGCTTCCACCGGAGTTCCGATGCAAGGTTCCTTTGCGAGCGGTCTGCCTGGAGCGTCGCTGGCTAGCCAGAGGCCCTCCTCCTCAGGTTCGCTGTTGGTGGTCGCAGGGGATGTTCCTCTTCTCGTTTTGGGAGATTGCCACCTAGCAAGCACAGGTTTAAGCATGGTTCTATGGACGTGGCGTACCTCAGTTTGTCTCTCTTGCGGGGCCACAGCATATACCACCCCACCGGGCTCAGGGGGCTTCACTACCAGGAATACTTCTGGGGCCCATGCGTCCTGGATTTTTGATCTTCCTCGGTGGGAGTGGTCCTGTAGGTAAACATGCTGTCCAACCGGCAAGATTTCCTCCTGCGCTTGCCTGTCAGCTCTCCCTTTCCGTCGTTCAGCAGCCGCCCGCATGTGCTCCCTAGCACTCTCTGTAACCACCTGCATCCGTCGTTGGTGCTCCCTGATCCACTGGCTGGATTCCCCGGGGATTGGGTCATTGAATTTACCCAACATGAAGTCCACGGGGAGCAGGGGCTCTCTGCCAAACATAAGGTGGTGAGGGGAATAGCCTGTTGACTGATGCGGAGTAGTATTGTAATTAAACAAGAGTTGGGAAAGATATTGTGGCCAGTGGCGCTTCTGATCAGCCGAAAGGGTTCGAAGAAGATCATGCAAAGTCCGGTTAAAACGTTCGCACTGCCCGTTCCCCTGCGGGTGGTAGGGCGTAGTCCTGGACTTTTTAATGCCATACAAATCACAAAGTTGATATATGATGGCGTTCTCAAAACTGCGGCCTTGGTCTGAATGCAACCTCGCTGGGACTCCAAACTTGTAAAACCAGTGATTGACTAGAACACCAGCAACGGTGGCGGCACGCTGGTCCCGGGTAGGAACAACCTGGGTAAACTTTGAGAAAATGTCTGTCATCACTAGCACTTGTTCTCTGCCATCCTGAGCTGGTTCTAAAAACGAAAAATCAATTGCCAGGACTTCATTTGGGCCAGAGGCCAATAGATGACCCATTGGAGCGCGTACCCGTGGCACTGTGCTCTTGGCCAGACAGCATCGTTCACACTGCAGGCACCAGTCACGGATTGTTGACCGCATACCAGGCCAGTAGCATCTCTGCCGTACCAGTTCAGTTGTGCGCTCAATACCCTGGTGACCGTGATGTGTATGCAACTGCTCAAAGACTTCTGCGCGAAGGCTCTCTGGCAACACCAGCTGTAGGACCTCCTCCCCTCCATCTGATCGTTGATAAGCCCGGTACAATAGTCCGTCTCTGGTGCGCAGCCGGTCCCACTGGCGTAGTAACTCTTGCAACGCAGGACCCTTGTCTTGTCGCTCGGTCAGGCTTGGCATTCGTTGCTGCTTAACATAGGGAAGCACAAGAGAGATAAGAGGATCTGCTTGCTGTATGATTACCAAGTCACCGGGAGTTCGTTCCGGCAATGCAGAGATGGCGGATTGAGCAGCCACCCTTTCTGGCCGTACTGCCTTGTCGATTTCCCCTGGGATTAGTGTACCTGGACGAGATGAAACTGGGGGGTGTGTTAGAGGTTGCCTGGAGAGGGCGTCTGCGTTCTGGTTGGTGCGGCCAGGGCGATACTTCACCACATAGTCAAAGACGGCCAGCTCTGCCACCCAGCGCTGCTCCGTAGCCCCCAGCTTGGCCGTTCCCAGATGACTGAGGGGGTTATTGTCAGTCCACACTACACATTTGTTACTCAGCAGGTACTCACGGAATTTCTCTGACATCGCCCACTTCATGCCAAGAAACTCCAGTTTCATAGAGCTGTAGTTCTTTTCGGCTGGGAGTAGGCTGCGGCTGGCATATGCAATGGGACGGGTCTTGCCATCTTGTTCCTGGGACAGAACAGCTCCTAGGCCTTCATGGCTGGCATCCACTTCTAAGATAAAAGGAAGGTTAAAATTTGCATATGCTAGCACCGGAGAGGACACCAACCTTGCTTTAAGCTCTCCAAAGCTGGAGTCACACTGTGGGGTCCACGCATCATTCAGGGACACACCTCGACCTCTGCGGTTTTTCTTGCCAGCCAGTTGTGCTACAACCCGGTGCAGGGGGGCCGCGAGCCTGGCAAAGCTTTCTACAAAACGCCTATAATAACTTGCAAACCCCAGAAACGAGCGGAGTTCGGCTACTGTGCTTGGGGTAGGCCATTTCTCCACAGCAGAAATTTTCTTTGGGTCCGTAGATACCCCAGCTGCCGACACGACATGTCCCAAGTACCCCACTTTGTTCTGGAAGAAACTACATTTGCCCAGTTTCACCTTGAGTGACTCTTTTTGGAGGCGACTGAGAACCAGCCTCAAGCGGTCAAGATGCTCCTCCACAGTGGATGAAAACACAATGACGTCATCTAAATATAGCAGCAGAGACTGGCAGTTCTGGTCCCCTAGCAGCCTCTCCATTAGCCGTTGAAAGGTACTAGGAGCATTGCAGAGACCAAATGGCATCCTCTGGAACTCAAACAGTCCAAATGGGGTGCAGAAGGCGGTCTTAGCTTTGTCTGCCTCAGTTACTGCCACTTGATGATAGCCGCTAGCTAAATCTATGGTGGAAAACCACTTTGCACCCGAGAGAGCATCTAAGGACTCTTCAATTCTAGGAAGTGGGAAAGCATCTTTCCTAGTTTTGTTGTTCAAGAGTCTATAGTCCACACATAGTCTTAAGCTGCCCTCTTTTTTCCGGACAAGCACGATCGGTGAAGCATAGGGGCTACAACTCTCCCGAATGACTTGGCTGTCCAACAATTGACGAATGTGTGCCTTAACTTCGTCATAATCAGATGGGGGTATGCGCCTGTATCTCTGCCTGATTGGGGCATCGTCGTTTAGTGGAATGTCATGGGTAATTAAGGAGGTGCAGCCTAGGTCCAAATCAGATGACGCAAAGACCTTTTCATGTTCAAGCAAGAGGGAGAATACACGTTGCCGGTCGGTATCAGTTAGTGACGCGAGGTCTAGTGATGCAATCTGGCCCCTAACAGAGTCAGATAAGACGGCCTGGGAATAGACTGTGGCCCCTGCACTATGTGGCTGTGTGAATGAGATTCCATCTGGCATGCTAATAACATCTGCTCGGCTTAGTGTTGCTATAGGGTGATGAGGGTATAGTGCAGTCCCTCTTTGCCCTACATTGACAACCGGAATGTAAACTGTACCTTTCTCGACCGTGACCATTGCAGGTGAGACCAACAAGCCTTCAGGGAGGGGTTGACCACTATCCACCGGTTCGATCAAGACTGTACCTGTAGACTGACTAAAGTGAGCAGAGCATGTGGCAGCAATCAATTTCATTGAGCCCCCAGGAATAATGACAGGACGCCTACCTCGCACTCGAGCCACACTGCTCGTAGGTGGCAAATCTGTGGTCTCAGTGTAGTGGCAATGATACAAGGCCTGCTGCAATGCTACAGATGCCTGCTGTACTTCAGGAAGGTCAAAGAGGTTAGGGCCATGCTCACTGAACAACACTTGATAACATTTTTTTATTATGTTCATTCCCAACACTCCTCTTACCTCACCTGTCCCTGGGGGGTCCTTAACAACCAGAATACCCCGGTTCGGTACAACCTGGCCAAATACAGTCACGTCCATCTCAATAAAACCCACATAAGGGATGTCAAAGCCATTAGCTGCAGTCAGCTCCAGCCAGTTACAGGATTTAGGGGTGCCTTTAAAGTTCTGCCTAAAGAAACTCTCTGGCAAGGTGGTAACCATTGAGCCAGTGTCTAGGAGCAGCTTAGCAGTTACTCCCCCTAAGCTAACAGTTACCTCCGGACATGCTGCTATAAGGCGGTCAATTGGGCGATGTGGGCCTGGCCTTTGTATCTGTGAGCCGTTACCTTCCCCTTCTGATGTTTGGCTCCTTACACCAGAGGGTTGAAGTTTCCCGCCTCCTGAAGAGCAGAGGTAGTGGCCACATGCTGAGGCCGAGCCTGTGGAATGAACCGCTCATTATCACACTCCCGAGCAAAATGGCCGGGTTTTTGACAGCGGAGGCACAGTAGGGTGTTAGGTCGCCTGACTGGAGGTCGGGGGGCTGTCTGCAATGCCAACAACCCCTGGGTCAGTTGATTTAACTGTTCCTGTTGCTTTTCTAGAAGCTGTCGCAGCTCTGTGAACTCAGAGTTTGCCGTTAGGCTAGGTGGGCGGGCCCTGGAATAATGAACAGCGCTGAAGGATGGGACTGAAAAGCTCCTACCCCGTGGCTCATCTGGTCTACCCTCTCGTTCCCACCTTATGGCCTCAGCTCTAACCTCTAACAGCGTGCACTCAGGCTTCTCCCTTACTAACCTTTTTAGTTCCCTGCGCAGGTTAGGATCTAGGACGTGCTCAACAAACTGGTCGCGTAAGAGGATGTGGGAGTCTGCCATTTTCCTGGGAGCACAACGCTCGACTTTCTCCATAAGACAACATAAGGCATGCGAAAACTCATGCAGTGACTCTCCCTCCTGTTGCTTTCTGGAAAAAAAACATTCTTGCAAGGACACATAGGAACGTACACAGCCATACAACTCCCGCAGAATAGACATAATTCTTTCTGGATCTTCCCTCTCTGTTCTTGTTCTGTACCTGATCTCATCTTTAGCCTCACCCTCCAAATGGTCAAATACAAAATATGCTTGATCTACAGTGGTCAGTCGTCTAGTCCTCAGTGTGGCCCTCATTTCTTCTATCCAGTCCTCTATGGGTATCCCAGAAGTCCCCCTGAAGAGCGGGCACTTGCGTTCTCTGGGAATATACAGCAGGCGTTCCATAGACTCCCCATTGCTGGAATGGACATTAGATAGGGGGGCTGGACAGTCATTGGAGCAACTCGGGACAGCTGCTCCAGAGTTCATATTGGAAGCGGCTAGCAGCCGTTCATTTTCAGACTGGAGCTGCTGGACCAAGTCTCTGAGCTCTTGTTCAGTGGCCATGATTGTTGTGGGGTGAGGAAAGTACAGGAGAACGGTAGGAGCCGTTGCCGTTGTGGAGGTCCAGCTGGCTTCCTCGATGACCAATGCAGTTCTATTTGGGTCTAATTGGACAAGCACAAAAAACAAAACAAAAATACAAAACATACAGAATAATCGCCCAAGTCAGTACAATCACTATTGCATCCCAGCCACACTGCCAGACAACGCCAATTGTGACCGCAGGGCCCTGGAATAATGGTGGGATGCAACAAGTAATTGACCAGACACAAATTATACAATTTTGAGCAATTTATTTGGCGAAATGAGACCTAAGAAATAGGAAAATATATGTTTTTATTTCATTGTATTAAATGTAATCATTAAAAATACCAATTATAAAATATGTGCTCCAATGCTAACCAGAAAGAAAGCAACACTCAGGGCTGGCCAGTAGCGGCCCTACACGATGGAGGACTAAGGGGCTGGAATAGAGCACTCACTACGCTCCGTGCCACACATTCATACACACACCAAATCAAGAAAAGAGGCAAACTGAAAATGTACAAGTGGTGAAGGGAGGTGCAAAATACCACGGCATTCAAAAGGAGTGATGGTGCAGCAGTGGGTAACTCTATCACCAAATCCCCCACCATGAGAAGCCACGCCCGGACCAGACCCTGAGCAGAAAAAGACACAATGAGCACAAGTACCCAATCACAGGGTTCAATATATTAAAATGAACTAAGCACCAAACAAACACAGTAAATAAGTAAATTAAATAAAGAAACAACAAAAACAAAATTAAATTCCAATTAGACCCAAATAAAAACTGCAAGGCACTCAGCGCCTATAAGAACAAAAAAGAGTTAACACATGTAATAAATATTCCTCCTCTACTTGTAAACTGGCATTACCTAGTATGACTACAAGAGAGCGGCTACGTCATAGCAGGCCGCCTCCTTTACACACGCAGCAGTCTGAGCCAGCGTCTAAAACACAAAAAGGAGAACTGAGAATTCACTAAAAAAATGAGGAGCACAAACACACCTACCAGGCCTTCAGCAGTGAGAGGAATACCCGCCCCAGGGACCACGATTGGCGCAGGTGGCACAGGGATGTAGCGTCAGTACGGGTGTCTGCTGTGTGTTTATATATGAGTGCTAATGTAATGGAATGCGGAAGTCTACGTACCGGCTTGGGGGGGGAATTCCCTCTACGGCGGCTCATTAGGGACAAACAACCCACCGGTTACATATACTTTTGCCTTTATTTTATTTTGTCAATATAGTTTCTTTGACTAGTTTAGTTTAATTAAATCTTTTGATTTATGTTTACAGCAACAGGTTGTCTAAAACCAACTGGGTCCAGTCATACTTCTCATTAACAACTTTTATCTTTTTCTTTTAGCGACGCTGGGTGCCTCTGGTGGCTGGGCTAGGCACATTGGTGTGGTCCCCCACCTTTGCATGTGATTTAGTGCACTTGGTTCACGAGTTAGTTTGCACATTTCATTTGCTGTGTCTTTTTGCTGTGTCCACTGTGGTGAGTATTCTGTGTAGCACCCCTGGGCACCTCCCTGAGTAGCATGCTCACCACCGGTGGCCCCAGCTAGCTCCCTTTTTGTTTTGGTATTTGCATTTTTAGCATCCAGGCCTTTTTAGATTCATCTTTACCATTTTAATAACTTTTGAATAACCTTTTTATATATTGTTTAATTTGTTAAATAAAATCGACCTTTTCTAACTTTAGTTTGTCCAATTCCTTTCTCTTTTTAGCAGCATCCTTTTATCAATAAACATTTTAAACTTTCATTCACTTCTGTCATATTTTAACTTAGATACTTACCTGTGTTCCTTTTTATATTGTAATTTGATTGTGACCCTTTTTTTTTTTAAATCAACCACACCCTCGGTGTACCACATTAGCTTATTATTTAGCTAATAAGCTGCATTAGTAGCTTATTAGCTAAATAGGCTGCTTGCCTCTCACTCATCCACATACATTTATTTTAACAGATTTTTTTTTACGCCTGGGTTCTACAAAGTTTACTCATTTCTTAACTATGTAATTTGTCTGAATATGAATTAGAGCTTTTAGGTACAGTCACTTCTGCTGATGATAAAAGAGTTCAGTGTTCAGTTAATTGTGTTTAAACACACAGCCAAAACACAGAAGTTCCCCACAGCAACCCCGTAGCAACCGCAAGAGATACTGTAAGTGCTTTGACCTTCAGATAAGCATAGCCTTCTGTCGCCCAGGGAAACAAACTTTCTCCAGACGTTTGGAAGAGCTAGCGCAGCGTTAGAATAACAATAGCATTAAAAAGTTTGTATTTAGGATGATCAGAAATGAAACAAAGGGAAAAGTTGTAGTTTTGCCGTTTTAAACGCCGTTTGTTGCACACATGCCGTTTTAAACGCCATTTTGTTGTGTACATGCCACTGATCAGCTGTGGCAGGTGCCGGTGTTCTGCCGAGTTGTGCCGCTCTGCCGAAAAGTGACGCTTATGTAATGCTCAGCTGTTAATGATGTAATGCAAACCTGCGCGGCAGCCGAAACAAACCAAGATGGCGGACAGAAAGTCCGAGAATTGCTTTCAAAGTTATAATACGAACGAAATAAGACACGAATGTCACTTTTAATGCAATTTGAGGCGAGATGTTGATGGTTCCGTGTTGGCACATGTGGGTTTTAAGAGTCAAAGTTTTGTGTAAAGTTTAGTTTAAGCAGTCAACTCTGCCTGTGAAACTACAATGCTAATGTTATGATAGCAGTCCTCGGCTGCTGACGTAGGCTGATGACGCGTCCTGTGGCAACTCTACAGTTTTGTTTTCTCTTCACCGAAGCTGAAAACTCACGTGAGTATGGCTCTCCGTTACAAAGGGCATATATTTGTATTAGTATAATGTATTATAAAGTTTGCAACCGAGCGCGTTGACTTCACTGACCTCACTGACTCTACCAAATCCTATACAGAATATTATATTACTTTTTCAACTTTGTACCATACTCCTGGGTTCGAAATTACATTATGGGGATACATTTTACGTACACGCGTAACGTATGAATGAATACGCGGCCATAATCCCTCCCGAAATGTATTGATTTTCTAATATTTGCTCGTGGAGAGAGGGTAAAATTATGTACTCGTGAAGAAGATGATAAAGTCTGGGATCGCGTCTTTCATTCAGACAGAAGACATGCTTTATTGTCGATGGTAGAGACAGCAGAGATAGTCAAAACAAGTAGTGGAAAAGTACAGGCTTCTGCACATTGATAGAATGATGAGTGAATGATGACACTTAAAAGTGTTATGAAATCTCACACTAGTAAAAAAGATAAATTACGTTTCATTTATGTGTGTTGTTTCACATGGATGTAGCCTCATCACTAATCCTCTTCCTTAGTATCTTATCTCTTGATATCTAATGGTGAAAGGAAGTCAATATTAATACAAAGTCAGAGATTTCCATCTTTTTTAAATTAGATATTTTCGTGTGGATGTTTGATCAGCTTTTAATTATTATTTGGTGGTCATTTAACAACATCTTCTCTTTTTCTCCCCAGAGCCATCCTTGATCCTCTTTCTTGCCCTCCCATTTTTGTCCACTTCCCCGTTTTCACATCTGCTTTTGATTGATACTGTTTTTTCACTCCTGCATTTCCACCTGACCACAATCTCTGTCTCCTCCCCTCTGATTTGTATGCCACACTGATTGATACACCGTTTTTTGACCCTTGCCTGTCCACCTGACCAAGATTTTGTCTTTCATAATCATAATGGAGGATAAATGGGATGAAATGTTTCTTCTCCTCACAGAGAAGATTTATCCTGAGGGAATGAATACATTTCAGACAGACAGAACTTGAGGAAGTACTCCCATAAATTTACTGCAAAGGGTAATAATGCATTTGCTATTATGGTTATACATGTCTTATTGTTCTTCTGTTGTTTTATTATAATTCAGTTGTTATAGATGGTGAGCTGTTCCATGACAAAAGAAGAGCCATTAAAACAAGACACGAGGCACAGAAACTGTTTAAAGAGTTTCATGCTACACCCACGGGAGGCCACACTGGCGTGAAAAAAACCTGCCATTTGTTCCAGATTTTACTGGCGTGGCAGGACTGATGATTGACAATATGGTATGTTTTTTCCTTTTATTTGTCTGCACAATTCCCTTCCCTGTCTGTTCTTTTTAAGATTTATGAGTGTGACCAATGTCAACGTGAGGGAAAGTCTCTGGGTTCAGTTACACCACTCCAAACAATAAAAGTAATTGTATTTATTGTTCCTATCCAACCAGCAGTGTACATTAATGCATTCAAATCCTGTTTGCTTGTTAGGTGTCTGCTGTTTGGGAGCTGTTGGGGCCCTTCCCCAAAACTACTGATGGCTATCAGTACATATTTACAGCCACGGATTATTTTTCAAAGTAGGTAGAGGCTTTCCCATTTAAAAACTAAGACGGCTGTGGAGGTTGGGCAAAGACTTTGCTTTATAATATACAGGGGTGCCCAAAATGTATCCTGTCTGATCAAGGGCGGGAATTTGCAAATGAAGTAAATATTGTTTGTGTACTTCTTGTTCATACTTTCTTATTCATTTTATTTTCATTGTTTCAGCTCAATGTTACTCTGTGTTCTCTGCTGGGCATTGAGAGAAGCGTCACCGCTGCGTACCACCCACAGACTGATGGATTGGACAAAAAGACCAACCACAACATAAAGAGGCAAGAAAGTGTCCAACAAGGCTCAGTGATTCAGTTCGCTCCTCCACCACAAAACAAGGCCAGTAGAAAGACACAAACATATTATCATTTAAAAAGTACATTTTTAAATTGTCAGATGTTCATGTCTTTACTAAATCTTAACACTCAGTTCCCATAAATGTTTTTCTGCATAAAACAGTTTGTTTAAATAATCATCCTCCAGCAGTCACATGACGCATGTGTAAAAAAAGCCAGCATTGAGGAGCAAGGTTGTAATTGTACAAAGTTCTGACCTGATGGGTATTATTATGTTTTTCTCTAATGCAGGTCATTGATTCCGATCTACGTGTGCTGGTGAACAAAGTAGAGGTGACATGTGTCCTTTACATTGGCTTGTTTCAGCAGAAACCTGTTCCCCAGCTCTCTGCTGTTGTGGGCACAAGCCTCTGTGCGTGGACAAATGAAACCACTTACAAAGGAAGTTCCAATTTCCGTGGGCCAAATATTCCTTGCATACCCATATGGTTACAAACACACTAACACTTTTTGGTTCCACTTTTTTATAGATGAAATTTCCAGAAGAGGCTCACTGGATCTGCCCCATAAAGACTGGAGGCCACTGGGTGTTAGTGGTCGTCCTCATGGAGGATAAATCAGTATTGCTCATTGACCCCATGGGAAACGAGGCCCTTTACAAAACAAACATCCTCAAAAACTGGAGGTTTGTCCTATCTGAAAAGTTATCATGAGACTTGTTTTGTAACTGTTCATCTCACTTTAGGAAGTTTCTGAGGCAGGCGAATAGAGGCAGTGGTCAATGGACTGGGAGTGTGCTCAAGCACCAGCTACAAATTGACACCTCTAGTTGTGGCATTTTTATTTTAAAGGTGATTCTGTAATTATTTATTCTTCTTTGAAGGCATAGTGACATGTCCTATTAGCTGTATATATAGTTTGCCGAGGCATGGTTCCTCCAGGGCCATTTGGATGCTGTGTGCACAAACTACAACTTTATTGCTGCAGCGTGTCTGGAAGTGGCATGTACGCTGCTTCAGCGAGGAGGTTATTATTGTCCTTACTTTTGAAATGTTATACCTGGGTTAATCAACAAAACTGAGACTGAAACATTGTGTTTATTTGTAGGTGAAGATGACTACTGTGGTGTGTGTTGTTTCCACTTAAGTGGAGATGAAAAGGTATTTTCCTCTTATAACCCTACAGCATGTGTTTCTGGAATGACTAAAGTTTACTTATTTTGGATAGGTGCAGTGTTGTATGTGCGGCGACTTCACACATTTTGATTGCACCAACAAAAAAGCGCCTTTGGTAGCATGTAATAAAATGTAATCAATAGAAAAAAGTGTTGGCCACACATGTCAGAGTAATTGTATTTTTATAAAATGTACCATGTTGCAAACAGTGGTTTCTGGTCTTTGTTTTACCTTGTGCTTTTCAGAATCATAATTTTTGTTTTGCTCTACATCTGAGGCTATGGTGCAAAGTCCCTGGTTTATCTATGCATTTATTTTTAATTACTATTCAAACAAGGGTTCTAAAATCAAAATATTGGAAAGTCAGAGGTAACAACATTTCAGAACACAACAGTGTGACAGCAAGATATACCTCTATCAATCTTGTGACATGTGGTTGTATACTACACAAATTATTGGGATTAGTAGTGTTGGAAATGTGTATTTATAATTAAACTGTCCTCTGTTCATATGTAATGTGATGGTGTTTCTGTAGCTACATAAAAAATATAAAATTAATCGAATGTAACATGTATAATCTTGTTATTCGCTATGGATACATTACAATACAATCGTTAATAATCCCATATCAACATAGTAAACTGTAGAGTTGCCACAGGACGCGTCATCGGCCTGCGTCCGCAGCCAAGGACTGCTATCATAACATTAGCTTTGTGGTTTCACAGGCAGAGTTGACTGCTTAAACTAAACTTTACACGAAACTTTGACTCTTAAAACCCACATGTGACAACGCGGAACCATTAGTTATGTAAAGTTTGATTCATTTTACTGACTCGAGTTAAAGTGAATCACTCACCAAAGTGAATCGGGTGTTTTGAGTCATTTGATTCAGTGATTCAGTTGTTCAGAAAAAAACATACATGAACACAAAATGGCAATTTACAATCAAAACATTTATTAAAATTTGATAAATGGTAACAATAACAAATATGTAAACTAATTTGACAAAATATAAACTCTTTAAATTTAACAATTCAACAGTAAAATTGTGAACAAAGCAGCAACAACATTCCAAGCGAGGGGCTGTCACAATACAAGAAATACAATAACACGTACAGAGTTGACATTTTGCTCGTGATGGGCCTGTTATTTCAAAGTGCATCCAAATATCGCTTCTTCTGCGGCTACTATCCATTTTCTATAAAAATATTTAAAACTTTCCGCCAAAAATGTGGTGTTACATAAATGTATTCCGTGTTAAAACCTACATTCCTGGTAAAAAAAAAAAAAAAAGGTCATAACAATTATATTATATAAATAATAAATACAAACAACTTTGATATTTTTCACACATTCATTTTTTATTGATGACAATCATTGTAACGCCAATAATGTTCGAGGCGGAACTCCTGTTGTCCGACGAGAGAAACACAGCTGAACAAATAACTTAATAAATAGCCAATTATATTTTTCAATCTACCTCACATAATACATGTAGAGGGTTATTATTTTTTGTCAGATGGGGCAAAAGAAACTACTTTTTTCAACCCAGTTAGAGAACGAGAGTTACGAGACGAGTCGGTGTCCTGTCGACTTGCTTGATGCTGAGTGAGTGAGTGAGTCAGATCAGATGAACGATTCGTTCAGAGCTGAACGACTCGAAGGGGAGCGGGAAGGGGCTGATCCAGAACCACAGTGAGTCGTTCACTGCTCGTACGGCTCGTACTAGCAGGCGCGGGCAGGCAGGAAGGAGGACGTTACGGTGAAGTAGATGGTTGTAAACAATAAGCTTTTGGTTTCTGTGCTCAAACGAGCTACAGTACACACACACACAGTCACACACGTAATATTAGAGTGTCATTCATTGTGGCTAGTAGAAAACGCAGTCTGGGGGTCGCAGTTTAGAAAGTGGTGGGCGGACGAGTTGGTGAACGAGTTAATGGAGGCGGGGAATCACGACTCCCGAGTCAGTAAAGTGAATCTCGAGTTTTGAACGATTCGTTCACGAATCGCACATCACTAGGAACCATCAACATCTCGCCTCAAATTGCATTAAAAGTGACATTCGTGTCTTATTTCGTTCGTATTATAACTTTTAAAGCAATTCTCGGACTTTCTGTCCGCCATCTTGGTTTGTTTCGGCTGCCGTGAGACGCGCATGCGCGCAGGTTTGCATTACATCATTAACAGCTGAGCATTACATAAGCGTCACTTTTCGGCAGAGCGGCACAACTCGGCAGAACACCGGTGCCACAAAAGGAGCCTGCCCTTACTGCCAGAGAGAGAGAGCAGAGAGAAACCAGCAAGAGACCAGAGAGAGCAGGGAGAGACCAGCAAGAGACCAGAGAGAGCAGAGAGAGACCAGCAAGAGACCAGAGAGAGCAGAGAGAGACCAAAGAGTGACCTGAGAGAAACCCTAGCGAGAAACCTGCAAGAGACCAGAGAGAGAGAGAACAGAGAGACCAGAGAGAGCGAACAGAGAGAGACCAGCGAGAGAGAGAACAGAAGAGAGAGAGCAGAGAGATAGAGAAGAGAGAGAGAGAGAGAGAGCAGAGAGAGAGAGAACAGAGAGAGCAGAGAGAGACCAGGGAGAGAGAGAGCAGGGAGAGAGAGAGAGCAGAGAGATAGAGAGCAGAGAGAGACCAGGGAGAGAGAAAGAGAGCAAAGAGATAGAGAACAGAGAGACCAGATAGATAGAGAGCAGAGAGAGACCAGGGAGAGAGAGCGTACTGACCTCTGACCTCATCAACTCTCCCCAGATCCGGGCTCACACAGAGTGAACCACAGTGACATGAAACTCATTTAAATCTTGTTAGAAAACGTCAATAAAACGCTGAGACAGAACTCCGCTGTTTCATTGAGTCAGCGAGAACCAACAAGACTCTGCTTTAAACTTCACACTTCACACAACTGATGTGGCGTCATGTTTGTTCTCTCTCCCTGTCATATCCACACTCAAACAATCTGTATTCATACGTTTATTTGTATAGCACATAGACAAGGCACTACGATCATAAATAATCACAGTATATTAAAAAGGGTAAAGGTTAAATCCTTCAGTTGTTGCAGAAACAGAACTGTTTTTAACCTGGATTTGAACATTTTTAGAAAGACTGTTCCAGATTTTAGCTGCATGAATCTGAAACGCTGCCTCCCCATGTTTAGTCTTGACTCTGGCACTAGCAGGAGGCGAGTCCCTGTGCTCCTCAGAGTCGTAGCAGGAGGCGAGTCCCTGTGCTCCTCAGAGTCCAAGCAGGAGGCCAGTCCCTGTACAGGCCGTATTAATCGTCGCTTCTGATTTCCTCTGGTTCCTGTTTCGTTCTCACACACGGCTTCTCTCTGGTTTATTTCTCGTCTCTCTTTGACATCATGGATTTGAATGATTTATTGGAGCGAGACCGGAGGTTTTACTGCGGCGCTGCGGTTTTGATTTCACCAACACAATTAGCATATTTCATCAGTGTGACAAGCCTCTGAAAGTGCTGATAAACGGAGCCGTATTATTTCTGCGCTGACAGCTAATCTAATGTTGTACAGAGGAGAGAGGGGCTTTCAGAGCGGTGACACAACGCATATACTGAAAAACTGGCCCAGAACTGAGGCCAGACTTAAATCGATGATGCTTTTCACTTATTATGAATGAATTCGAATCTAGAACCAATTTTCTGTCATTCAATTAAACAAGATTATATCCTGGAACTGAGCAAATACCCGGCAAATGAGGACACATCCAAATGCTGTTGTATAACCTGTATACAGATGGACAATGCTAACACAGAGTGTATACAGATGGACAATGCTAACACAGACTGTATACAGATGGACAATGCTAACACAGACTGTATACAGATGGACAATGCTAACATAGACTGTATACAGATGGACAATGCTAATGTCACAGGGGTGAAAACAGGTTCTTTGGACCCGGATTTAAAAAGGACCACTGGATTAAAAGCAAATTAAAAGCAATTTATTATAAAATACATTAAAAACGAGTAAATAAAAGCATTAAAAACCTAAGCTAAAAAAAAGGGCTAAAAATCTAAAACAGAGGCCAAAACGCAGGCTAAAACACGTTCCCACGGCCTGGGCCGCCAGACACGGGAGGGGTCCCGTGTCTGGCTCCTGTGTCTCGTTCTGTGTCCGCCTCCCCCTGCCCATCTCAGTCTTATTCTCAAGGCGCAGGTGTCTTGATTGCTCACGTGGGGAGCCGGGGTGCTTCAGGTGGTGCCAGTTAAAATCAATATTAAAAACACACAAACACAACATGCATAAAATATGAATAAAACCATATTAAAACCCACCACCCACTTTGCACCCCCTGACACTAACACAGACTGTATACAGATGGACAATGCTAACATATACTGTATACAGATGGACAATGCTAACATAGACTGTATACAGATGGACAATGCTAACATAGACTGTATACAGATGGACAATGCTAACACAGACTGTATACAGATGGACAATGCTAACACAGACTGTATACAGATGGACAATGCTAACACAGACTGTATACAGATGGACAATGCTAACACAGACTGTATACAGATGGACAATGCTAACACAGACTGTATACAGATGGACAATGCTAACATATACTGTATACAGATGGACAATGCTAACACAGACTGTATACAGATGGACAATGCTAACATATACTGTATACAGATGGACAATGCTAACACAGACTGTATACAGATGGACAATGCTAACATATACTGTATACAGAGAGACCAGAGATAGAGAGACCATAGAGCGCAGCACGATGGCTGAGTGGATAGCACTCCCGCTTCTCAGCAAGAAGATCGAAAAAGTAAGGCAAAAGATGTCATGGTGTGGATTTTATTTTTGTATTTGGTTACATTTTGACATTGGTTCTCTGGTTTAATTTCAGTTTAGCTTCGTGTCCTGTTCCCCTGTTGATTGTCTGCCCCGCCCTGATGTCAAGGTCTGTTCTGTCCTGTTCCTGTGTTCCTGGTTGCTTTGGTTTTTTGTTTTTCACCTTGGACTTTATTTTATTAAATTTTTATCTTGGCATTCCGGCATTTGAGTCCTCACTCACCCCACCCCAGATTCAGATTCATTTATTTGCCATTTGCAGTAAAACCACATAGGAAAAACTGTGCAAGACTACCCCGGTGTGCACGGGGTCCCTTGTCCCATGACAAAAGAGAGAGAGAGACAAGAAAGAAAGACCAGAGAAAGAGAGTTCAGAGAGAGACAACAGAGACCTTAACTTAATCCAAACCTATTGTCTCAACATACAGTCTTTTGAAGCTTTCTGTGAATCTTTGTCGGTAAAACATTGTTTGCCGTAAAAGCATTTAATCAAACACAGGATAATTCCCTCATAATAAAGAACCAGACAAATCCAATAACGTCTGTTACAATGTAGCACCTTTTCAAACACGGCGGATCATCACTGCGGACGTACGGGACAGAGAGCTGTGGGGGTCGGATTATGAAGAGACTGATACAGCAGGAGAACGCAGCAGAAGGATACAGCAGCAGGATACAGCAGCAGGATACAGCAGCAGGATACAGCAGCAGGATACAGCAGCAGGATACAGCAGCAGGATACAGCAGCAGGATACAGCAGCAGGATACAGCAGCAGGATACAGCAGCAGGATACAGCAGCAGGATACAGCAGCAGGATACAGCAGCAGGATACAGCAGCAGGATACAGCAGCAGGATACAGCAGAAGGATACAGCAGCAGGATACAGCAGCAGGATACAGCAGCAGGATACAGCAGCAGGATACAGCAGAAGGATACAGCTGGAGGAAACCAGAGGGAGACCAGAGGGAGAATAGAAAGCAAGACCAGATAGAGAGAGAGAGGTCTGAGGGAGAGACCAGACAAAGAGAATGTCTAAGGAACCAGGACATTTAGTAACATCCCTGGACAGTGGTCCTCCCGTTCCCTTTGGACCAATGTCTCTGTGTGTTTGCTATTATTGCATTTCCTTTGTTTGAACTGTTTGATTCTCTGATCTGTTGTTGGTGAATCCACAACTTTGTACAGTCCTCCAAAACAACGGCTTGGGCTTAAGGTAAAAGTTTAGAGATGGTGGTGATGCCGGTCAAATTGGAATGTTTTTTTTTTCTTTTTTCTCTGAAGCTGAGCAGGACAGGGCCTGGTTAGTGCTGTGATGGGAGACCCCTGCTGAACACCAGGTGCCACAGTGGGGCGGCTGCTGCTGTAAAGTGCCTAACTGTGGTTGTGTCCTCAGGCAAGGCACTTCACTCACATTAGAATGAATCCGGTGTGTGTGCGAATGGTCGGTGGTGGGGGGAGAGGACAATGGCATAGACTGGTTGCTTCTCTCAGTGTGGCCCAGGGCAGCTGTGGCTGGTGGGAGTTTATCACCAGTGTTTGGAGTGAGTAATGACATGTGAAGAGACGTTCAGTGCCCTGAAGAAGTTGAATAAAATCGGTGCATCATAAAATATAGAAAGTGCATTTCTGTTGTAATTTTTTAAATAATGTATATTTTAGCTCCACAGACAAACTTTTACAAAAAGTAATATTCCTCTGGCTACAATCATGTTTTGCTAGTACGTTTGAAAGAATTTCTCTCAAATATTTGTCTAATGGCACTCATCCGTATTTGCAAAGAATTTGATATAAAAAAATCCACCAGTCCAGTATAATTACAAATAATTTTATATTTCAGTTCATCTCAGTGTTGTCTCATTCTGTCTTTGACCTTTTCTTTCAGAGTAAAAACCTGAATAAGTGCATTTGTGGCGTTAT